TGTGGAGAGGGGTATGGCTTTTTAAAAGAAGGGTGATCTTCTTTTGGGTGATCTCAACAGTAGGCTCAGCCACTTTTATGGGTCAATGGTATATGTCTAGTGTGAAATGTCCTCATTGAAAAAGGCTCTTTCTGATGTTCTTTTTTTTTAATTTCAGTATCTTAAGACAATTTTAGACTTGCATATTTAGGTAGCAAAGTGAATTTGTCAGATGATGAAACTTCCTAGAGGCAAAGATGGATGATTAGCCTAAAAACGTCTCATATTCAGTCATTGGAAGACACTACTGCAAGCTTAACAATTTTTAAAATCAATTTCTCTGCAAAAAACAGTCTTAGAAAATGTGCAGTGTGCACACTCACATGCTATAAGAACATTAGTTGTTTGCTTGTTCTGAGTTCAGGATCAGGAACTGCCCAAGCAAACTAAGCAGTCAAAAAAGAAGGTTTTCTGTCATTGAGTAAACTTAGAATCTATCAAAACATTGTATTCATTTGATTTTGCTATGAATTAAACTATGGATGTGGAAAGCAGACCTATCTATGTCTGGTAATCTTTAGTATATGAAAGCTTACAGAACTATTTTATATCTTCTTTGCCTGCCTTAGGTTTATCTGCAATTAACTCTTTTCTCCTAGAGGGAAACTCTCAAATGTGCATGGTTTCTGCAAAGTGACATTAACGTATGTTGTTGAGGGGGGGAAAAAAAGCCTGTATGTTAGATCTAGAATCTATCTGAATTGGCAAGTGGGTCTAGAATTTTAAAGCCCAATAAGAGAGAATAAAATTGGGATCAGGTACATCATTATTCAATGTGCAATAGTCCCTGATTAGACTAATGAGTAAAATGAGGAAGGAAAAAAACAAATAAGGAGGACAATTAGTTATTTGGTGGGTTGAAGGATTGCTCAGACATCTTTGTGATTGGGCAAAAAAAAAAAAAGAAGAAGAGTTTCCTTTCCTAGTGCTATCTGATTCATACATCCCCCACTTGTGAGATGCCTGCCAGGTCCTTTCTATAGAAAAATGGATTATTCTACAGTCAGATTAATGGGCTTTCATTTTGCAAAACATCTGTCACCGTTAGTCCTGGACAGTGAGCGTGAAATTAGTTTTGACTGCAGAAGGACTACGTTGGTGTGTAATATGTGACTAACATTATAATGGCTCAGGAAGTGAGCTGTTGAATAAGAATTACCTGTTGAAAGGAGAACAGGTTTCTTTTGCACTTGCTGGGGGAACAGACTAAAATGGGAACTGTCCTATGTATGTATGTATATATGTATATATGTATGTATGTATCACTGTGAACACAGTGTATTACAGTTCCTTTTATATCGCCAATAGCCTGAACTTAACATTGTAAGAAAAAGGTTTTAATGGATATTATACATGAATTATTTGAGATTCTGTGCACAAGGGATAAGTGAAGATGCAATGCAACAAATATGTCTTTAAAGATACCTCAGAGAAATGTGACATAAATGGGTTTTCATAAATGCAACTATGATCTGCAATATACCTCAGAATCACACCGAGACGAAAGCCACAAATTTTAATTGGCAAATTATTCCACTTCTGTGACAAATTATATTGAGCAATTTTAACAGGGGGAGGGCAAATTTGAATCAACCATTTTCTGATTAGTTTTGGAGGCTATTTTGTTTGGGGCATATTATATTTTTATGGAATTAAAAAGGAAATACAAATTTTGGCTTCCTTTTAATCACAAATTGCTTAAGTTGTAAATCACTTCAAATTTTCTTCAGGGTGTAAAAAGGCATCTATATTGAAGTTTTATAATGTATACATTTATTTAAATTGAATCAGTTAACCAATTAACAAGTTGATAAGCCAACAGATATATTCTTTAATCAGTTGACAATTTTATTGTTGTTGAGTGTAAGCCATAACATTGCCCAGTAGGAGGACTGAAAATCCATTCACTCCATACATTTGTCAGCTGAACTATATCTTCTTCAGATGGCTTAATATCAGATATACTAACTGACTTTATACTTTTTGTTCATTTTATCTGGAGAAATCAAGCAAGCTAACAACAGAGCAAAAATCTACATTTTACATGAATGGATTGCTGAAGGTTGAAATTAATTATTTATAAAATCCATAGACCCTCTCACTCTGTCATGATTCTGAGAATCTCACAAGTTGATAATAAAAAGATATGTAACATAAAAAAGAAGTCCAGAAAACTATTAATTGATCAAAATCCCACACAATAATCTGTCACCCACTGCAACCCAAAGCCTGGGGGAAGAGCCAGGTTTTTAGGAACATATTTAAATACAGTCATGGTTAAATGCCATCAAGACATTAGAGTAGGGTTTTTCCCCTCAGTCTAATGTGGCTATTTATTTAGGAATCTTACAAGATTTCACAAAGCATATTTTTCTGTCAGGTAATTCAAAGTTTGGAAAACTACCACTGAAAAATGCTACTCCTAGAAGCCCTCACTGCATGTTGGCAAACAGATTGATTTATAGAATGTATGTACTGCCTTAGTTCAAATAGACTTTAAGCAATGTACAACATCTATATTAATAAAGCAGTACAACTTATTTATTTGTATCTTTTATTATTTTTAAAATAATTCATGGTTGCTAACATATCCAACATATCTTCCTCCTCCTATTTTCCCACAACAACCCTCTGGATGAATTGAGAGAATGACACACAACTGACTTTCATGGATAAGGCAGGACTAGGATTCCTGGTCCCCCCACTTTCTAATATGGTGCTTTAACCCCTAGACAAAAGTGTCTCTCTAATTAAACAATATTTGTTGTTGTTGTTGTTAATTGCGAAGTCGTGTCCGACCCATCGCGACCCCATGGACAAAGTTCCTCCAAGTCTTCCTGTCCTCTACCATCTTCTGGAGTCCATTTAAGTTCACACCTACTGCTTCAGTGACTCCATCCAGCCATCTCATTCTCTGTCGTCCCATTCTTATATTGCCCTCAATCTTCCCCAGCATTAGGCCCTTCTCCAGTGAGTCCTTCCTTCTCATTAGGTGGCCAAAGTATTTGAGTTTCAACTTCAGGATCTGGCCTTCTAAAGAGCAGTCAGGGTTGATCTCTTCTAGGACTGACCGGTTTGAACGCCTTGCAATCCAAGGGACTCGCAGGAGTCTTCTCCAGCACCATAGTTCAAAGGCCTCAATTCTTTTGCGCTCAGCCTTCTTATGGTCCAACTTTCACAGCCATACATTGCAACTGGGAAAACCATGGCCTGGACTATACGCACTTTTGTTGGCAGGGTGATGTCTCTGCTTTTTAGTATGCTGTCTAGATTTGCCATAGCTTTCCTCCCCAGGAGCAAGCGTCTTTAATTTCTTGGCTGCAGTCCACACCTGAGGTGATCTTGGAGCCCAGAAAAATAAAATCTGTCACTACCTCCATTTCTTCCCCATCTATTTGCCAGGAATTGAGAGGGCCGGATGCCATGATTTGGTTTTCTTAATGTTGAGTTTCAAGCCAACTTTTGCACTCTCCTTCTTCACCCGCATCAAGAGGCTCTTTAGTTCCTCTTCACTTTCTGCCATTAGAGTGGTATCATCTGCATATCTTAGGTTGTTGATATTTCTCCCAGCAATCTTAATTCCAACTTTTAATTAAACAATATATAATAATATAATAAACATTAATGCTTTCTTTTCCTAGTGCCTCCATACTAATCAATCCCAAAGGGTTTCTAGTGAAGCTAGATTTTTACAAGATAATATCAGTATAGATTTGAAGATATGAAAAAGGGGCATTCCTTTACAAATTGTGGTTCCAAAACAGTAAAAATTTAAATCTAGGGGTGTCAAACTGTCAGTCTGCGGGCCGGATGTGTCATGGCAAAACCGCGCCCACCCCATTGCCAGCAATGGAAAAAAAGTCACGATATGTCGCAACACATCATGTGACATTGCGAGTTTGACACCCCTGCTTTAAATGTTAATATCAGCACCTGGATCTTGGACTGGAAACAAATTGGTATAGGGCGTGTGTTTGTGTTTCTTCACTGTGTCTATATATGTATGTGTAGGTATCTATAGACAGACAGACAGACAGACAGACAGACAGACAGACAGACAGATAACTGTATTTATTAGTGTGTTTACTTTTATAGTATTTGTATGCTTTCCCCATTAAAAACTCTGAGCAAGTCAAAACAATAAACATGTACTTCATAAACACATCATAAAACAAATTATATAAATGTATAATAAAATTACATGATAATGTAAAACAAACCAATTTTGAATTACCAATCTGCCTCTAAAGGCCCATTGGAAAAGGATGGTCTTTAACTGTTTAGAAAGATCTCTCTCTCTCTCTCTCTCTCTCTCTCTCTCCCCTTTCTCTCCCCCCCTCTCTCACACACACCACACATACTGAATTCATAATGTATGTGATAGCTACTATAAAAAAGGTATACAATCAAGCAGTGCTTTCAGTGGTATTTGATATCCTGGCTTCAGGGTATGATTTGAAGACACAAAATGAACTGATTTCATTGGTCTGGATGACAAACAATTTATATCATCTATAATTCAATCTAAAGAGCAGGTGGATATGTAAAATAAGTAAGCTTGGAAGCTGAAAAAAAGCTGATACTTTAAGGAATTCACTCATTAAAGTTAATATGACTGTTAAAATACCAACATTTTTTTTTTTTAAGGATAGGGTGGATGAATGAATTCCAGAGAAGTGCTGTGCTAAAATGTTTGTGCATCTCAGGGCTGGTATTCAGATTTTATTAACCACTATAGTTTGGGACAAATACCTTATAACTTCAGTTATATGGTTCTCCCTTGGTTCTAGTACAGTATTTCTTTTATACATAAATAGTCCATTTAATTGACCCCTGATGTTTTCTGTGTTAACTTTGGTCCAGGAAAATATTCCCAGTAAAGACTAAGAGACAGAGACTATCATGAAAGCTTGATTAAGAAGCAGCTTTCAAAGTTTAACACATTCCCTTGTGTCTTTCAGATGTACATTCAGACCACAACGTTGACCATCTCAGTGAGCCTAAGCGCCTCTGTGTCATTAGGCATGCTCTACATGCCAAAGGTCTACATAATCCTCTTCCACCCAGAGCAAAATGTGCCCAAACGAAAGCGCAGTCTCAAAGCAGTTGTGACAGCAGCCACAATGTCCAACAAATTCACTCAGAAAGGAAGCTTTCGCCCCAATGGAGAGGCCAAATCAGAACTATGTGAAAATCTGGAAACACAAGGTAAGTTGAACCTATCTGAGCAAATGCTTCTTCCTCCCCCCCCCCTTTTTTTTTTTTTTTTGAAGATTACCACTCCTTCCAGCTCTGGAGATTGCTGGGAGAAACAAGTTCTCTGATAAACAAGGGCTATTTTCTAACTATGCTAAGAGGTAGGAGCCAATAAGAGAGAATGGGTTATTTAATTTCCTAACAATTTGCATGTATTTGTTTGTTTGTTTGCAATCTTGGATAGCTTATGTTGAATTCAGGACAAAGTCACAGTATGAATCAAAGCTACTGACTTCTTGCTTTATAGCTCAGTTTTTCTGCCACAAAAATATATTCATTTAGTTGACAGATTCCTAGACCAAAATGATTCTTGTGAATCTCCTCTCCTCTCCTTTTTTTTTTTCTTTTTCACTCTCATTCTTTTTCTGGTACCATCTTGCAGCTGCAAAAAAATAACATATTGCTCTTGCCAGAAATCTGAACTGATTTCTGATTTCCATGTCAGAATAAGCAGGAAGCTATATTACCCTGCTTTCAGCAAATTTGATGAAAGGAATATTTAAGATCTTGAATAATGGAACTTGGATACTGCATTGGGGAGGGAGTAGAGTTGCCCTTCCCAGTCTTATATTAAAACATATATTTTAAGTATGCTTTGATCTGGTGATTTACTGTGGTTGTTCCAGAAAAGAAGAAAAGCATTCATACAGATCCCTAATTTGGATTACGAGAGAGACCTATGGAGCAAAGAAGCTGTTATATAAAAAATCCCTGTGTCATTGTCCTACTAAAATGAGCCCTATCTCAGTGCTGTTTTTCCTGGGCTTAGATCTTCAATGAGAAGATGTATTTATTATCAATTTGATTTATGTCTTTCTACTCCAGCAAGTATGATTAACACAATTTAAAGCAAAATAAAAGCAACATAAAGAGTTATAATTAACATTAAAATTGATACTCTAATCAACTAATAATGAATGACCTGGCAAAAAGGGATACTTTTTAACAGAGAGGCACGGGGAAGAAAATATTTAAGTCCTCCTCCAAACACACGTGTTGATCAGAGTCTGAATTAGAGTTTTGCGTGGCATGTATTGTTTGATCTTTCAAGGCTGGCTACATGCGTGCAGCACGTACTAATAAACCTAGAACAAACAAAAGTGAAATTAGGCCTTTTCTTTTTGAAATCTGTTTCCATGACAACCCTCCTTGCTCCTCCTTGGGATGGGAACCCTTGCACAGTATAATTGTGTTTAGAAGCCAAGGAGTATCAGGATTGAGTGATGTTTAAATATCAAGTTCCTGAAACTCCTGTTTTCTTCAGTGGAATTTATATGTAGATTGTCTCTGATGTTTTGGACTGTACATAGAGAAATACACAAACATATGTGCCCCCCCTCACCGTTAATCTTCTATTTTTCATTCTGATGCATTTGCATTGAATGTACATCCTATGTAAAATGCTAATAGTCACAGCAACTGGATGTGAACTTTTTAAGAGTTGCATTTATTTTACTTTACTAAGCCAAAGGAAGGCCTCTAAAAGGATACAAATTACAAATTGCCCTTTTCACCATGCTTTCCAGCCTAATCTGCTTAATATGTGGACATTGCCTTGGTTAGAAGTTGTGGGGCACATTTTCCCTGGGTACCTCAGATAGAGGGGGGTCTTATCCAAACAGTGGTGCATGATCTAAAATTATTATATGGATCAATATTTTAAATTCAAAACAGTAAAACTAATAATTTAAAATATAGTTTCAAGAAATATTTCATTATTTTTACTTGCCTACAGATCTGTTTGCTATGCCATTGACATTAATTGACAAGAAACAATCAAGAACAAAAGTTCATTAGCACAGAAGCGAGAAGAAAGTATTTGTATGTGGGCTGGGTTTTAAATGAATATTCTACCCACAGGCTGAAATATTGCCAGAAATAAGATATTTAGAAAATCCTCCTTCCTATGGTTGGTCATAAGTCTTTTTTAAAAAAACGATACTCTCTTATAACATTTTCATTTGGCCCTTAGATGTTTTTTAGAGAGAAAAAGCAAATTCACAGAGAATGTCTGTCACTGAACATAGAATGAAACCAGATAGTTTAACTCTGAAAACCACTTTGGGAATTAAGCAGCAAGGAAGTCTACTTCCATGGCTGCTTATGGATTTAACAGAACATCTGGCTGGCTACTACTGGAAACAGGTTGCCCAAGTAGATAGATTGTTGGGTCTCTCCAATAAGAAGTTATCAGAAAAATATGATCAACTCAAGCAATTTGACCAAGGCATCAGTAAGTTAATATGAATATTATATAGTCTGTTTTAAAATAAAATAAGTATTTTTTTTTTTTACTAAAGTTTACTACTAAAATTAAGAAAGCTGAAAAAGTTCCAGGGTCTTGTTTTTCCAAAACACAATATTTTTCTGCTGATAACTTTGGATCTGAACTTCTTCTTCTTCTTCTTCTTCTTCTTCTTCTTCTTCTTCTTCTTCTTCTTCTTCTTCTTCTTCTTCTTCTTCTTCTTCTTCTTCTTCTTCTTCTTCTTCTTCTTCTTCTTCTTCTCTTCTTCTTCTTTTCTTCTCTTCTTCTTCTTCTTCTTTTCTTCTCTTCTTCTTCTTCTTTTCTTCTCTTCTTCTTTTCTTCTCTTCTTCTTCTTCTTCTTCTTCTTCTCCTCCTCCTCCTCCTCCTCCTCCTCCTCCTCCTCCTCCTCCTCCCCCTCCTCCTCCTCCTCCTCCTCCTCCTTCTCCTTCTCCTTCTCCTTCTCCTTCTCCTTCTCCTTCTCCTTCTTCTTCTTCTTGCTTTCTCTTATTGATGTACAATTTTCATGCTTTTTTTGAAGGGGATTCTTAGTTGCTTTTTCTAAATAGGGAAACATTTAAAAACCATGCAGAGTCAGCTAGAATTGGGATGGGCTATAAATATTGTAAAAACGTAAATAAGTTCATAAATACTGAATATATATATATATATATATATATGTATATATATATATAATATCTATTATATATATAATATATTATTATATATATCTATATATATCTATATCTTATCTTTAGTCTCCCATTTAAATTCTTAATTCTTTGTCAGAAAAAGAAATTTGGATAATATATATATATATATATATATATATATATATATATATATATGTAGGTCTTTGGTTGTTTGGGTTTTCTCCTGCGTAAAATTGGAAGTGTCTTGGCAACGTTTCGACGAAGTCTCATTCGTCATCTTCAGGCTGGTTTTTTCAGCTTCGTGCTTTGAGCAGCAATGTGTGGTCTTAGCTGTTTCTTCCTTTTAACTGCCAGTGGGGGTATGAACTGATTGGGTGGGAGCTTGGCTGTGTTCTGATTGGGTGGAGGTGTGTTCTGATTGGTTAGGGCGTGGCTGTGCTCTGATTGGCTGGGGGGTTGGCTGTGCTCTGATTGGCTGGGGGAGTGTTCTGTTTGGTTGTGCTCATGTTAGTCTGAGTTGCAGAGGGGTTTAAGATTTTGGGCTGCCTTGCTATTTTTTGGCTTCGCGTTTGTGGTCGTGCCTCATTTTCATGGAGGGTGTCAGTTTGCTTCGTGTATGGATTGGAGGGCTTTAAAGTGGCTAATGATGCATCTCTGGTCTGGCTTCTGGTTTGTGGTCGTGCCTCATCATCGGTGTGGCTTTGGGTTTGCTTTTTGCGTGGATGTGTGGTGGTGACATCCTGTGTGGTTTTTGTGAGTGTGGGTCTGGTGTCATTTTTTGTGTTAGGGAGTCGTTTGTCAATAAGGGCTGGTTTCCAAATGGCTGGTAGGCGGGAGGTATCATCTCGCTTGTTCATGCTGTGTGGGCGTTTTTCTATCTCGATGGCTTCTCTGATTATTCTGTTATTAAAATGTTCACTTTTGGCAATGGTTCTGGTATTTTTAAAGTAAATTTCATGTCCTGTGGCTTTAATGTGTTGGACCAGGGAAGATGTTGGTTCCTCTTTTTTGACTGAGTTCTTATGTTCTTCATGCCGTGCAACTTATTCTTCTGTGGTTTTTCCGATGTATGTGGTGGGACAAGTGGTGCATGGGATTTCGTATACTCCTTGATTTTCTAATTCAATTTTATCTTTGGGGTTTCTAAGGATGGTGGATATTTTTCTGTTTGTGCCGAATGCTGTTTTGATGTTGTGTTTATGGAGGATCTTACTGATTCTGTCTGTGGTGCCTTTTATGTATGGGATGAGGGCTTTGCCGTTTTCTTGTTCTTTGTCTTGGATTTTAGTGGGGGTTTCTTTTTGGATTAGGTTTGTAATCTTATTTCTTTGGAATCCATTGGATGTTAGTATATTGGTGAGAGTGTGTAGGTCGGTTTTTAGGTGTTGTTCGTCAGAAGAAACAGCTAAGACCACACATTGCTGCTCGAAGCACGAATCTGAAAACACCAGCCTGAAGATGACGAATGGGACTTCGTCGAAACGTCGCCAAGACACTTCCAATTTTACGTGGGAGAAAACCCGAACAACCCAAGACCTACATACAAATACCCGCGAAAACCTCAGAAAACATATATATATATATATATATATATATATATATATATATATATATATATATATATATATATCAGCTATGCAAGTAAAAATATGACTCTTGGGTATGTTCATATTAAAATCAATAAATAGTTGAACACCAAGAGAATAAAATTATACAAAAGTTAAAAATGTTAAAACTTTTATTTACTAAACCTAGCTTTCGTCAAGAGCTCTTGACATCATCAGGGTGTAAACGGCAGTCGTTGGGAGGGCTTATATGCAGCCTCCAATCATTTGCGCTCGGCTCTTGGATCGTGTCATAGGTCCCAGCTGTGTGCGTTGTAATCCTTTTTGATGTTTCCCCTACATAATTACTGTGGCAACCCATGCAATCAATTTTATAAACCACCGCAGACCTTTCTGCGGTGGGAAGGGGATCTTTGGGGCGCATGATCTTTGATCGCAGAGTCTGGTCAGGTTTATGTGCCACTCTTATGCCATGGGGGGCCAGCAGTCTGG